GCATATGCAATGTCTTCAATCAACGAATAGTTTTAATCAATACATGTCTAAAAAAGAAGCTCTCCTTATTGTCCTCTTAATGCCAATAACGGCACATGTTCAGGTCCAACTGTGGCTAGAACCAATTCTTTTTTCTTTGTCTTTCTCTCTCTTTCGTTCAAGTTCCTAACTGCAAAGCAAAGCAAAGACTCGCTAAGGTTCATTAATACCCAGCACGGAATCTTGGAGGAAAGAATTTCTCCGAGTGAAGTGCCACGTGCATGGATAATTGAATCCAGTTAACTAGGGTACCCGTCTTAAAAAAAAGGGAAAAAAGAAAAAGAAAAAAAAAATCTGTGTTCCACTTGCCTTTAGACACAAATCAGAATACCTAATGTATTATTGTTACGTTTCTGTGTGGGATGCATATACAGTAGTGTAAGTAGGACTTCATAATGGAAAGTTATTTCCAGAGAGGACAAAAGACATATATATTATTCTCTCTTTCACAATAAGAGTCAAACATATTTCTTGCATATGAGAGGAGTAACCAGAATAGCTTTCTTATAAGCTAATAAAATACGCAAACATGTAAATAAGAGACGTACTGGAGTCTTCTAACGCACACTCTGAATCAATAGTCAGGATCTTACAGTAATGTATAGTTGTTACCTGGTAGCTACACTTAATGATGACAAATATACCAATAGGCTATTTGTTGTAGGTATAACATTAATATTTGGCAATTGATTATCCAAATTATACGTTGATGTTTCGATTTTTTTATGTTGCACCTATGACCTTTTTATTATTCATTCTCTCTCTCTCTCTCTCTCTGTCTCTCTGTCTCTGTCTCTAACTCTCTCTTTCTCTCTCTCTCTCTCTCTCTCTCTCTCTCTCTCTCTCTCTCTCTCTCTATATATATATATATATATATATATATATATATATATATATATATATACCTATCATTATCTGTCTATCTCTCCATCTCTCATCTTTCTCTTTCCCTTCCCCTCCTTCCAACCTCCAGCCCCCTCCCCAACTCTCACTGCGCCCCCTCCACCCCCCACCCCCCACGGTCTTATTACAATTCATTACGGGGAAATTGTTCTAATGTGAAATTGGTGTTGACAATATTAATCAATCTAGGTGTATCCGGATCTTTTTTTCCATGCAGACTGTGACGAATCGGCTTATTTGGTATAACCATCATCCTCAACACTTCAGTTAAGGGTGAATTTCGCTGAATGATCATATGCGTAATTAAAGGTAGAAAAAATGTGTTACCAATTAGGATGTCTCTAATCCAATGTCGTCTGTCAAATAGGCTTATAGTTGTTTGTTATTGAATCGCCTTACGTGTGTGCGTGTGTGTGTGTGTGTGTGTGTGTGTGCGTATGTGTGTGTGTGTGTGTGTGTGTGTGTGTGTGTGTGTGTGTGTGTGTGTGTGTGTGTGCATATATTTGTCAATGCGTAAACGTAATAAAATGTACCAAAATGATACCGAGCCAGTACCTCTTCCATCTAATCAGACACACATTTTCTCGCGTTTAATCAAAGCTAAAATCAAACACGAATTTTAAAGAGTCTCCACAGAAACGACTCTCCTGTTACTCTGAAACCTGAGGATGTCCCCCTCCCCTTCTCCTGGCAAAGACTTTGGCTCGTGTGGCCTGCTATTGTCACTTTATTGCGACTAAAACCAATTTGTCGGGCTTTCTCTGGTGTTACGGGGGGGGGGGGGGCAGCGAGAAGGGGGTCACGTGAGAGGGATGATGGGAATAGGGGAAAAGGTGGGGGGGAGTAGAAGGTAGAACGATGGGGATGGGATAACGGATAGGGAAAAGACAGGCGGGAATGGGGGTGGCGGATAGGGAAGAGGGGAGGGAATAGGAGAGGTAAAGAATAGGGAATGGGAGCAATGAATAGGGGAATGAGGGAGGAGAGTAGAGATCGTAGAGGGTAGGGGGGTGAGAACGGGGGTGACGGATAGGGGAAGGGGGAGGAGGGGGGAGGAAGGGTAGTAGAGGATAGGAATGGAGGACATAGGTTAGTCCGGAAGGCAGTGACACATGAGTGAGACAATGACACAGGTCGCTCTAGGCTTACATATGCAAGCAGGCATTTGCATAATGAGAAATCACGGGGGCATTATTATAATATGCCACATAATTACATATACATGCCCTGCCACGGAGCATAGAATTCTGTGATGTTTAGAATTCTGGACTCGCCTGTCTCCCCGTTGATTGTTTTTGTCCAGGGAAGTTATGGCGTAGTTCCTTTACTTACTCGCTTGCTTTTGAGTCGAATGCTATTTTTTTTTTTTCACGCTCCAGTTCTCTCAGTCTCGCCATCTTTCTACAATATGTTTGCATGTACGTAGGTGTGTGTGTGTGTGTGTGTGTGTGAGTGTGTATGTATGTATGTATGTATGTATGTATGTATGTATGAATGTATGTATGTATGTATGTATGTATGTATGTATATATGTTTATAAGTATGTATATGTATGTGT